TCATGCACATCGTAGTAGTCGGTCAGGCGTCGCGCCTTGTGCAGCACCTCCTCCTCCATGGCGGCGTCTGCAGTGGGCTGGGCTGGGGGAAGGAAAGGCGCTGGCGGGGGGCAAGTTGGGCACCCAGGCTCTGCCCCCCGCAGCTGGGGGGTCGGCCGGCCGTACCTGCCTGCACCACCAGCTCCGCCTTGCAGGAGACCTCCCCGGCCAGGTTCTTGGCCGTGCAGGTGTAGACGCCACTGTCAGACTCGGTGGCACCCAGTACCACCAGCGAGCACTCGTTGTCCTCGTACACGAAGCTCAGGTGGCTGCTCTCCTCCAGCAGCTCCCCGTCCTGGGGGCAGCAGAGGTTTCAGGGGGGTCCTGGTCCATCCCTGATCAGCCCTTGCAATGCTTTCCCCATGCATGGAGCACATCCTGCATCACTTAGGGTAAATACAACCCCAAAGCCCTGACACAATGACCCAGGTGAGGCAGTGGAGGGTGTGGGTCTGGGGGAGCTGTGGGTCAGGAAAGGGGTGCTGGGGTCCCAGCCCACCTTGTACCACAGGATGTCCGGCAGCGGTTTCCCCTCCACAACCACAGCAAAGCGTGGCGTCTCCCCTTCCTGAGCATCGATGTCCTCCATGATGGATTCAAAGCGTGGTGCCTCTGCCAAGAGATGGGGCATGGGGCACCATGGGGCAGTGACGCCCCCCTGCCACTGGCACAGGGTGTGGGGCACTGCAAGGAAGTGCCAGCCCATGGTGTAGGGCCACGAAGCATCACGAGGCAGTGCCACCCCAATGCACACAGGAGCAGGACACTATGGGGCAGGCCACCAATGGCATGTGCCTGCAGCACCATGGGGCAGCCACCCATTGGTGCAGGACACCATGGGGCAGTGCCACTCATGGGCATAGGGCACTGTGAACTTACATCTCCCCATTACATAGGCATGTGGGGTAATGTGGGGCAGGGCCACCCATGACACCTCTGTGGGGCATTGTGGAGGTGTCCCCCATGCCACCCCATTATACAGGGGTATGGGACACCCTGCAGCAGTGCCACCCATGGCACATGGCTGAAGGACACCATGGGACACTGCCACCCCATGCACACGGTCATGGGGCACATGGTACACTTTTACCCAAGTCAGATAAGGCTATAGAGTGCCAGGCAGCAATATCAATGCATGGTTCATGGGTTTTCAGCCCCATGGGGCATTGCCACTCTACAGGGCAGTGTCCCCATAGCATACAAGTATGGACCACTGAGGACCAGTGCCATGCTATGGGACAGTGCCCCCATGGTGCATGGTTTTGGACCTCTGTATGGCGATGACGCTGCCCTGCGGAGGGGCATGGCCTTCCCATCACGGGGGTACCTACCTGCGAGGCGGAGGTGGAGGGCGCAGTGGGCCGTGCCGTGGCGGTTGCTCACCTCGCAGGTCAGTGGCCCC